TACCTTAATGAGACAGATTTTACAAAATCGTCGCGGGGAATATTTTTTTAGTTACGAAATAAATCTATATAGTAGCAAAACAAAGATTATTGTCCAAATTTTGATACGCTTTTGAATATGCTTCACAAATTTGACAAGAAGGTATAGATAAAAATGTTTTCATTATAGTCTAAAGAAGAAAAGGGTGCAGTCATTTAATTTGCAGAACGTAGTACAGATTCAAGAGGTAGACGTTTTATTTATACCTCATCCTTCAATGCTTATTTAGTTAAATTTAACCCTCCATTAGGCGCGTGGATTCAACTCACGCGGTTAGGCGCGTGGAGTACAATGGTAATCCAATTTATTTGACTACTGCTATTTTATTTGAAAAAATATGTATATATATTTTTTTGTATAAGTATATTTATGTTAGTTTATTAGCATAAAATATATTTACAAATACATTTTACCTAAATTTAATGATAGGAAAATTGAAAGAGGTATACACGTGTTTTTTAGTCGTTTAATTGCAGGTTCATTAAAAATTGTTACAAACATAAAAATTTTATTGAAAAAAACAAAACTATATATTTTTTCTTTTTAAAGAGCAAACTTATACTTACATAAACTGAACAGTAAAAAAATATTTAAAAAAACTAAACGAAAAAATACAAGTCTAATGTGCACACATCTCTCATGTGGTCTTTGCATGCATGCCTGAAACGTTTTTGGCAAATTTTTTTTGTCGATTTATTACGATTTCTGGAGCAAATGTAGCACCGACGAATGCAATTTGCTGACATATCTGGTGGACGAGGGGGTAAGATATCTTCGAGTCCAAGTAGTTGCCGAGCTCGACGCCGAAGTTCTTTTGGTAGACTGGAAATATTTGACTGGTGTTCAATTTGGGGTTTTATTAGGTCCCAAGCAAACTTCTCAATAAAATCAGATCTTAAAACTTTTTTTCGGAGTAGTTAGCTTTATAAGCGCAGGTAGCGCACACTAGGCAAAAAATGTAACGTGATTAGGCGCGTGAAGTACAACGGTAATCCAGTCATCTTTGACAGCTGCTAATTTAGAAAAGCGCACTCCTTGTCTCTTTATTTTATACTAATGAGGTAGTTGGGTGCATTATCGACAGCTACTCAAGCGGGCGATCCCACCCACAAGCCTCGTTTTAATTGGTCACTGTTCAAAGGGGTGTGGATTACATACGTAATCCACGGGCCTAATGGATGGTTAATTGGTTCAATGTTAAAGTGCCACAATTTTGTCAAAAGCATAAGGTTTATTTTTATTTTTTCTAAATAACGTAACTTTTTTTATTCAAAATTTAATTTACGAAGTGCGTATATACCATTTTATATGCCGTTATCTTATTTATATTATAGAAACTTATTTTGCAAAGTGCGCCTATGGAATGTAACAATATATCCCCACTTTTACTGCACTCCTCTTTTATTCAAACTATAGTAGACTTTTTGATAACTGCTCCTAATTTCTGGTAAATGTACGTATAGAAAGTAATTTTGTATCCTGTTTAGTGACATCAGAAACTCGAACAAACATATTACCCACATAATTCTCGCAGTTTTGAGTTCCAGAGTTGAATAGCTTTACACAGAACAATTTTCTAAAGGTTCTTTGAAATAGAAGGGCTGTTGGATTACCACAATTATATTTTGCTGCTAAGACCAAACTAGTTTTCCAAAGGATATTGGCAACGGCGTACGCAGCAATTTGTCCAGGGGGGATAGGTCAACATTCCCAGGCAGCACACTTTGGTATAAATTACGTATTTTTTTAGGTACTACCATACGTATGAATACGGTTGATGTACTACCAAATATATTCGTGAAAATGTCCGCCTTATAAACGTCGATTACTAAGAATTTATCCACCTATAATTTAACGTTTTTACTATACGTCTATATGAGATTTATAGTTGTAGTATATTTATACGAATTCACTTTGGTATAAAATACGTTTTTTTATGTACTACAATATACGTATGGATACTGTTGATATGCTACCCAATATATACGTGAAAATGTCCGCCCTATAAACGTATATTTTTTTATTTTTTATACGTTTAACATTACTACTTTATCTACCTTTAATTATCCTGTTTTACTATACGTCTATATTAGATATATTTGTATGATTTTTATTAATGTGTAAAATGAGTCTACCTGATATTGTTTTAAATGTATTTCAAACACAAATTAAATAAAGTGATCAAAACAAAATTTCTAAAAGAGGCCATGGAGAAATGTTAATATATCTTAAATGATAGTTTGGATTTTATCCATAGCAGGTGTCTATACACCAGAAATAGGCATTATTCGTGTTTCTATTTTGGTTGTAATTGGTCTAAATATTTAGAAATAATTTTTGATCACTTGTTATAAGTACAGAACAATATTTAATTAAAAAAAAAATAAACAATAAAATACTAAAAAATAAATAAATACAAAAAAATAAACACTAAAATACTGAATAACAAACTAAACGAAACTTTTCTTTAACTTTAACTTTAACAAAAAATATATATGAAAATAAAAATCTTAGCTTAACACTTTGGATGTGTTGTGTCCATGGCACGCCTAATCGTTCGGTCGGTTAAGTCGCTTGGTTCACCCCCATTCCTATAACCAAAATTTAACTCAATTTCAGGTGAAATATTTTCTAAAAGCTCCGAAGTTAAATTTGTATTATTTTCTTGGAAATTATTATAAATAATAGAATCAGATGATCTATTAATATCCGAAGCCTTATTAATGTTATCTTCATTGGTAATAAAAAAAAAATTGATTTGACTTTAAAGCATCTTGAACATTTTACGCTATTTTTCTACGTAGATGACGCAGAGACAGGGTTATTTTAGATATTTTATTAAATGAAAAACAACTGACCAAAAAAAGGAAAGTAAGTATGTTTGGAATAACTAGGTATCCTAAAAAATACGTATAAAAATAAAAGAAACAAAAGTAAGGTTATGTTTTGATGTTTCTATAAGTATTTAACACACTGTACGTACCTATAAAACAGTAGTTGTTGTAAAATGCAACAATTATCAAAGGAGTAGCTAAATTAAAACATTAATAGAAACTTACCTACGCTTTTAATCAATATTGTAAAAGCCAGGACGCAACAAAACGTGTACACAAATTAAAATGGACGAACCGATGAACCTGCTCCCACAAACCATTCCCTACACTGAACAATAATACTACACATACGCATGAGTAGAAATGAGAAAAGACCGTACCACTAGTACGTCATCCTCCATCCGCCATCTAAAAATAGTTCCATGTGTATGGGGAATTTGTTATAAATATTACAGGTAATATAATTTAAAAAATATGGATGTAATGTAAATAAATATATCTATAAGCTTTTAATTTAAATAAACCTAAATATATACACATTATTTACTTCTGTCTACTAGTTCATCGTAAACTGCTATTATGCGTTTATGGTGACTTATATTTAAACGTAGAATAATATAGGTATATTAACTAGTATCGACAAACAGAAGCGTTTAATTTATTTGTTAAAAAACGTTAAGTATAAAAATGGTAGATGGTAAACGTTTAAAAAATCAACCAAGACGAAATTTAAACGGGAATTATAAACGAAGAAAACATATTGTAATATAATGTAAATTTATACGAATTTAATTTAAATAAACCTAAACGTATATTTAGGCCCACTGTATATAAATAGTTCATCGCAAACTAAAAATAGTCGTATATTGTTAACTATATTTAAACGTAGAAAAATTTACAATTATATACCATAGGATGTATATAAAAAACGTATAATATATCGTTTAAAACACGGTATGTATAATAATCGTAAACTGTAAACGTATACGGAATCAACCAATACCAAAATTAAACGAGTATTACGTATAAAATACGTAAGTTATACTAATGTGTGCTGCCTGGGTTATTTGAGTATATGTTATACAGTGTTTTACACTACGAAATAAGTTTTAGTTGCAAGCCGAGAATAAATTTGCAGCAAGTGTTTGTAAGATTATAGATTTAGTTGGCATTATCGTTATATTTATTTAATGTTTTAGAAATTTTTTTATATATGGAAGCAGGGATGAACTAATTATTGATTATTTTCGGAAAGTGAGGACGCCATTTTTAGTCCAAATTTTTTTAATAATGGATTACACATGAAATACAACCCAATTTTCATTTATAACTATTTCGGAAATCTAAGCCTTCTCTTATTTTTCAATTGAACGATTTGATAGGAAAATGTTTAACTTAGGTGGTTCAAGGTTTCATTTTCAGAAAATTTATTGAATTTGTAGTTTATTCTTACAATGAAAAAGGTCTAAAAATAGGTAATTTTCTACCACACATTTTTAATTAAAAACAATTAGTTAGACTTAAGTTAGACCTTTATCTACAATTAAAAAAAAAAGGTACGATATACGGTATAATTACGAAAATAGTTACAACTTTTGATCTGCAGACATTATTCCTAATGCACAAGGATACTCTGTCCTTAAAGAAGTGGAGGCCGTATGGAATGAAATAAGAGTTAATGACACGATGAAATCCAAAAGTTGGAAGATTTCAGAGGACGTTTACTTTGAAAATGCGTACTTCAAACAATTACAAAAGAAATATGAAGAAACCAAAGACTACCTGGTACAATGCCAAAAATTTAAAGAGGAAAGTAAATCAGAGACAGTAAGAAAGTTAAATCTTGAGGAGAAATGAAATTGAAAAAGACAAAAATGGAAATGTGACCAATTAAACAGACTCATTCAAAAAATATACAATGAAATAGAAATACGCCGACGTTGTTAAATGAAAATAAAAAATATGAGAGCTCATATCTCCCCTACATCAAGAAACCCGTATTTACCAAGACAGATAACCTTTGACTAATAATCTCAATATAGTTTCACTATAAATTTACATCTCGGTATTTCCAAATTTAGTCTGATTTTTTTTCGCAAGACATACATATACATCTACAACAAATCGTGCGTTGTTATTTGAAAATATGAGAAGCCTAATCACCGCTTTGGCGGTCATCCTGTGCGTGGGGCAAGTGTTGAGCGCTCCTAATAGTTTGGTTCTATCTACTGTACCCACACCCCCTTTACCGCCGCCGCCGCCGCCACCGAACCAACCGAATAATGTGCATCCCATTATCCTTCAGGATCCTGGTTTCTCTCGTCCAGCGGAACTCACAGATGGTCTGGTATGTTAAAGCAGAATATTTTAATTGAAAAATTTTCTATACAGGGTGCCGAAAATTTAATTAAACACTCTGGGGCTTAGAAGGAGTTAGGTTGGTTTAATAGTAGTGTATGCAAAGGTGTCGTAGTACTCTCTACTAGTAAAAAAAAATATTATGAAACCCATATATTGGAAGATTTTTCTCTGGGATGTGCAAAATCGTTATTAGATTTTTTAAAAAATTAATATTTTAAATAAATAAATTTTACGTATTTGTTCACCTTATTTTTTTACATAAATATTTTGAGAAAAAAAAAACTAAATTTAAAAAAATGATATTTACCTACTGGACCATATTTTTTTCTAGTTTTGAAAATAAAAAAACATTCTTTAGTGCAAAACAATTAAATTCTTTTTTTTTTAATATTTGGGTAAATATTATATAAAAAACAAATACCTATTATATATTTATTATCTGTACTTTATTATTGGAATGAGTTTTCATGTTATTACTTAGTTTAAAATAAGGTAATTTTAATAAATCGGACCGGGACGACTTTACGGCCAGTGGAATTTAAAAGAAATTTATTTTTTTATTAGAAAAAGCTTATTTTAAATAGTATATTTAAAAAGAAAAAATTGCGGTAAATGCATTATTTAAGTCAAAAAAATTACTTAATTCCTATAAAAATCAGCATTTTTGGCGACTGTAAACATCGAAATTTTAAAAATTTGATTGCAACGTTGCCGGATTGTGATAAAATTAGTAGTTAACAGAAAATATTTTTCGGATACATAAATAATTGGAAAAAAATATTATAGAAAAATATATTTATTTAAGAACAAATAACAAAAAATAAATAATTATAGTTCAAAACTAGGAAGGAAGGAGAAAAATGTTAGATGAAGGCAGAGGAATCGGCCTTATTCCGACATCTTCCTTAACAAAATTAACAGGAACTACTCAAAACTAATCAAAATAAATACAAATCCAAAAGTAACAAAAACTAACCAACATAAATACAAATAAAATACATAATATATAAAAACTTAAGAATATTTGAAGACTGATATTATAAAGTCTTTGTTGGGCTGTGAAATCAAAAATTTTCCGCCACGTAAACAAGTCTATGTAGTCTACTAAAAATGGTGAACTCATTACTCCACCTCAACCTGGTTGGTACGTACACCTGTGTCTGGGTCAGTAAAGTACTTGAATGGTTGACTGTGCGATGAATATACCCCACTCTATTCAGGCTTCGATAGGCTCTCCATTCATCAGTCCATATTTCTGAGCCTGGTCTTACCACTTCCCTTATAATAGGTACTAAGGTGCCTGCAGACCTATCAATTCTATATTAGATTAGATTAGGAGTTGGACGTTATTTGTCCTTGTCCACCGCGACCTTTTCAGATCTATTGTAAGACTCCGTATGTTGTCTAGCCTGGTCTTTTTTATTAGACTTAGTAGCTTTGACAGTGGCTCCCGCATGTAGTTGCATGCAATTGGCTTTTCTTCGCCCAATGTTAGAAACCTCATTCCAGCTAGGCCTTCACATTGGCACAAGACGTGGAATGATGTTTCCTCTTCTTATTCACAGAACCTGCACAAAGTTGCTTCTTCTGCTGGATTTATGACACTTATGTGCCTTTTGAGGCGACAGTGTCCAGTAAGAAGGCCTACTGTTCTCCTAACGATTTGACGCTTTTGATCCAGTAGGTCTTTCGTAAACTTGGCCGATGGTTCCTTGATGAACTGTTTGGCCTGTCTCAGTCTTGGATAGTTGTTCCACCATTCCTGAGACTCTTTTTGCATCCATTGTTTAATGGATGCATTGCACAATGCCTTGGAAACTCCACAGAAGGGTTCGGGGCCTGTCATGGCCTTATCTGAGCCTTCTCGGGCTAATTCGTCGGCCTTTTCGTTGCCTTGATATCCCTCATGGCCTGGAACCCAGGCTAAGGTCACCTTATTTTGACTACTTAGCTCTGTCAGGTCTTCTAGATAGTCTTTCACCAGTCGTAATTTGATTTCTGGTGAGAGAATTGCCTTGACTATCAGAGTATATGGCAATAGTTTTGCCTGATTCTTGCTGATTTAATATTTCTCTTGCACAGTGTTGTATGGCTATTAGCTCAGCCTGGAACACTGTTGCCCTCAGCTAACGATAAGACGTGGACTGGGCGCTGCTACTAACTGACTCACAGCAGCGAGTATTACACTGAATAGCCAAATCCCGAAGCCGGCTAGCTATCAACTCTAGTCGGACGGAAGACTGCACGGTGACGTCACTATTCAATGCAGAATTCGCGGCTAGCGCTCCGAAGTCGATATTGAATAGGGATTCCATTGTGTAGCCTGTGGAGTTGGCTTTCTCACGTACAAAGACTACCATGAGACGAACACACATACAAGGACAACCCTGTTTTTTATACGTTTTTCAGGGAAGACACACACAATTAAAATCAGACAAAAACTCACTCAAACACCATTATCGCTCTTGCTAGCCCACATAAAAGGCATATTATGTTATTAACAAGGAGATGCCTAGCCAAACACAAATGACCAAAAATAACATAATAATACTATGCCAGAACAACGGCGAGCCTCGGTGAGGACGAAATAATAGGCAGGTCACACTTCCGAAGCACTGTTGGAAGTACTACTATTAAATAAAGTATTATATGATATTTAAATGTAAATTATTGTACATAAGATTTTTAATAAAGGATTTTGAAAGTAAAAGTAACACTGTTGCATATTTTCCTAAACTCAGTGAAATCGTTTATTTTGACTTGGGTTCATAGATTCCAGCACCGGCTCCTTCCTTGGTTTTTGAACCGTCTCTGTACCAGATGAGTTTAGCCTGTACGGGAGGTCCCTGTTTCCAGGATTCTCGGGCTGGTATTTGAATTTGAAAATTTCTTTCAAATTTGTATGTGGTTATGGCTCAGTAGGCATAGCTAGAATATTATCCCTTTTTACTTGCTGATATAGCCTTGTGGTCGCCGCTATGTAGTTGGCTTATTGGGTTTTGTCCCTGCATTAGCCTGTGAATAGCTGACCTGGTTTCTCCTTGTATGAAGATGTGCAGTGGCGTAAGATTTAATAATACCTCCATTGCTGCAGTCGGCGTAGTGCGTCATGGCCCCAGTAGCACTTAGACAGGCAAGCCGCTGAAGGCTAGTGAGTTGGCCTATTGCACTTGCCTGCGCAGTTTTGGTTCCCCACGCCACTGCGCCATAGGTTATCATGGGTCTTATTACCCTTGTGTATAACCATATGGTCATTTTGGGGTTTAGACCCCAGTTTTTCCATCATATTCTTCTACAGTTTACGAGAGCTATTGTAGCTTTATGTGTGAGTTTTTTGAGATGTTGATTTCACGTCAGCCTTTGGTCAAATATGACTCCGAGGTATTTGGCTTCTGTGACGAATGGGATAACTGTGCTGTTTAGTACTAGTGGTCTTAGACCTGTAAGTACCCGTTTTTTTGTGAATGGTACAACTGCTGTTTTTTGTGCGTTGATGGACAATTGTTCCTTTTTGCACCAGTTGTTCACTATGTTTAGAGCTGTTTGAGATCGCTCCGAAACTGTACCGGCAAATCGCCCCCTGACGATAATTGTTAGGTCGTCTGCGTATGCTAGGCACTGGTAGCCTTCTTTGGATAATATTTTGAGTAAGTCGTCCACAAGAACTGACCACAGCATTGGAGATAGTATTCCTTCTTGTGGGCAGCCTCGTGTAACTTTTGCCTGTATGGCCTTTCCTTTAGGCAGGCAGTGATCCATTGGCATATTGTAACTGGGACGTTTCTCCTTTCTAGAGCCTTGGTTATTGACCTAGTTGAGGCATTGTTGAAAGCTCCTTCAATATCTAAGAAAGTGGCTATTGCGATTTCTTTGTCATCTATTGACTTTGAAAGCAACCTGTTTAGATCGTCCAGCGCTAGGTCAGTTGACTTTCCTGGCTATTATGCATATTGGTTGGGATGGAGCGGATTTATTTTTAGTATATCGTCCCTGATATACCTATCTATTAATCTGTCTACTGTTTTAAGTAGGGAGGAGGATAGGCTTATGGGGCGATATGACTTTGGCGTTTGGTCTGTGACCCTACCTACTTTGGCAAGGTAGACTACTTTCGCCTTTTGCCATATAGCTGGGATATATATCCAGGCATTACATGCTCTGAAGATTTTGCATAAATGTGGCAATAACATATCTTTTCCCTTCTGGAGCAGAATTGAATATATACCATCCGGCCCGGGGATTTGTATGCCTTAAATTTGTTGATAGCTCAACTAATCCTGTGTGGTCTTGTGATCTCGGAGGTCAGCTTCCAGTCTATTGGAGTTGGTCTGTAGCTCTCTTGGTCTCTTGAGTCTAGTCCTGTTAGGATAGTTGAGGCCGGAAAGTGCACCTGAGTTAGTATCTCCAGACTTTCCTCTAGTGTCGTGGTGTAGGTAATTACATATTTAACGAAGCCTTCTTTTAAAGTTACATCATAGATACCCAATATCCACTTCTCTTGCACAAGTCTGCCCCTGTTATATTTTCTTTTAGTTATTACGGACTCTTTTATTTAAACAACATGGCCAGAACCACCCATTAAAAAGGCATCAGCTTGATTTGGTTGTAGTAATTTCCACTGAACTCTATACCGTTACAGTTCAGTGGTAATTTCCAACTAACAATGTCTCGATAATATCTGTACCGTTGGATAACCATTTCTCGACGGACATTTAGTAGTTCCACAGCACAATGCGAACGAATATCACACGCCCACAACACAATCACATTAACTGTATGATTCTTCTAACCGATACTCTCATGTCAAAAAATGTTCCAGAAAGTATTGATACATCTTTATGGCACTTCGAACAATAAAATGACATATTTAATGAGTTACAACCTATTTTTCATCTTAACACGCAGTAACGACGGTAATTTCTAACTTGGCACCTATAATTCAGTTTATTAAATCCATTTTGTTGTAAAAATTTAGGTTCATTTTTA